TTCCAGAGAAAAAATTTAATACGTTAGTGTAAATTTTTGCATTTTTGAGTTTTTTTATTCTCAAATATTCCTACATTCTCTTCATGTTCTAAAATTTTCTTGAATCATGCTACATGTACAACATTGGTTGATAATACTAGTTGACAACATCCTATTTGACATAATTATATCCACTCATTTTAAAAAACTGTTTTCTACATCACATACTAGGATTTTGACAACACATGATTGTTAATCAATGTTGTACACTTAAATTTATTCAATTTTCTTAGCATATTTCCGGACAGTGCTAGACGTACTCGCTAGTTTACTACATGATTCACCTAATGCTGACGTGGCTGGAAATTGAAAATTCAACTCAGAAAAAAAAAACCAATTAAAAGGTGCCAAAACTCTCGTCATTTCCATCTCCTCCGCAGTGAAGAAGCTCCCGGCGAAAATGAAGCAACCTGAAAACTCGATCAATGTAGCCGGTAACTTGGACGACGGCGACCACACGTCGGCGAACCCTTTATTTTTCCCCCCACACGCTGACGCTGAGACATGTTTTTAACAGAGATGAAGGAGAAGCAGGCAACTCCCACACCAACCACGCCGACAACAGCGACGTCGACGACAACATGGGTAAGATGTTTTCAATTTAATCTCCATTAGATGGCTAAAAGTGGGAAGCTTAACTGGTGGTGAAGGGCTGATTGTTGACTGTGTTGTGAAGTGGGAGGTTTAACTGGTGGTGAAGTGGGAGGCTTAACCGGTGGTGAAGTGCTGTTTAACTGGAGGGGCTTGGGTGTGGCGTGGGATGGGGTGGGATGGGGTGGGGTGGAGGTGGTGATGGATGTTGCGGTGGGGTGCAGGGGCTGGTGAACGAGCTAGGCAGTAGCACTCTCCAACCTTAATTTCTGGGTTAAAATTCGGCTCGAGTCTTAATCAGTGCTGAAAAGATCAGTCATGCCTTTAGAGACTGTCCTATAGAAGGTTTGGCTCTTGTAGCAGATAATTAACCCATGTAATCTCGGCTACTGTTCCTGCCATTGCCCTGTATTCTGATTCCGCCGAACTCCTAGAGATTGTGGATTGCTTCTTTGACTTCCAACTGATTTAAGAATTTCCAATGAAAATACAGAATCCGGTGATGGATCTCCTGGTTTCTTGACATCCGGCCCAGTCACTATCTGTGTAGGCCTTT